ACCATCAAAACACCTGAAAGTTTTGTTTAATTGAGAGTTTTAAAATTTGTACTTATTTTCTGAAATAATACTATTGGAAAGAGCATGAATATGACTCAAATAAGTGAATGAATGATCATAAATCAACCTATCATTTTATTATCCTTTTATTACCCCTACCTCATCCACTTATATGCCTGCTTAAGCCAGTCTCTCCTTTTTACAAGTTGCACTGTGTAACTTACTTTGCCACAATAGCATTTATGTGAGTCCTCACAAGTCCCAGATATTGGTCAACCTGTGCCTACAACAAGGAAGAAAATCATGAGCACATCCAAAGTTCAAGAGGCCAAACGTAACATGAATGTTTGACTTCACACAGAACTTACCTGGTGCTTAACATACACTACAGGTAGAGTAAACATTGAAACCACAGCTGGGATGAAAAACAAATAAGAGTATTAAAATTCTGAGAGTCATCAGTATCTATAAGCTTATAGATACATGTTCATGTAGTTATGTAATATTATAGCATTTATAATAGTCAGCATTTTAGATAAAAGAGGACAGGGCAGCTCCTAAGGAAAACAAAGGGATGCTGAGCCCTTTACAGATAGTAAATCATTATCCCTAGAACGAGGGTAGATTGTGCCTTCCTAGGATGAAAATGGATTTCTGTCCCAAACTGCCATTGTAATGTACATTAGAAGAAGAAAAAACCCTTCAGACTAAGAAATTCATTATTAATGTGTAATATACTATCTTATACTCTTTATTGAACTATGGTCAGGGAAATCTGCAGCACTCAGGGGGGTCTGGTATTTGTTCCCAGGAATCTATCAATTCAAGCGAACAGCTAGCAGCCCGGGAAGCTCTATGCTCACAGAGCGTGTGAAGGAAGACGAAGCACGCTCATCTGTCCTTACCCATGAGCAGCAGGGTCAGGCCGTTGAAGAGAGCGCCAACGTAAGTCAGGAGCCACATCAGGACTGCGAACTGAAAAGTGAGATGATTATCACAGCTTCTAAAACCGTGACAGGTAAGAGTCTCATTTTATTGACTTTTTAGATTCAAATTTGAGGCAAAATATATCATGATTTCAATAGGAAATGTAGGAGCACTTAAAGCTTGTCGCAGGATTACTGAAAGAGGGTCCTGTTTACTTTTCTCAGAACCCTTTCGCTTGTTTCTGTGTGGATCCATGAGCTAAGAACGGATCTCACATTTTTAAATGCTCGAATAAAAATCAAAACAAGAATAACATTTTGCTATATATGAAAATGATATAAAATTCAATTTTCAGCATTCATAAAGTTTTATTGACTCAGTGGGCAACCTAGGGCAAGTGTCTTAGCCTCTCTGAGCCACAATACACTTCCAACATCTGTAGAATAAGGGGGTTAGCCTGGATGAGCTCCATGGGACGGTACAGCTAGAAGTTTTCTGACTCTAGAATGTAATTTGCACTTGCATTTTATTCTCCAGGATGTGGGTGCTGGAAGCCAATTCCAGCATGACAGCAGGGCTACATCTGGGAATGGCTGAAGGCATTTCCCCAAACCTGA